GGGCGTCAAAACTACGTATCTGATTAAATCCATTTGTTTAAGGAAGTAGTGTTTTATTTACAATCCTTTAGAACTTGAAACTACAAAGACGAGAGGGGATATAAGTAAAAAAGTAATTGGTGAGGCAAGAGGTGTTCGAGAGGCTTGCAGGAAATACGTAGTGGTATTAAACAGAAAAATAATACCAGGAACAAGTGAAATTTAAACAAAGTGGAAATTTCGGCATTAAAACAAGTACACACATAAAAAATGTTTATGCGGTTGGATTTATGAAAATGTGAAACGAATGTGAAATGCAGAATCGCACAAAGGTAACATAAGATTAAGAAATATTTGAGGAGCAGTGTTATAGTCTCAGTAAATCTCTCAAACCTTTACTTCTTAGGACCGTACCTATGAATAACAATGAAAGAGGAGGCAAAAAGAAACACAGTTGCATTATATATATGGTGCAACAGGAAAAGGTTAAATATCACCAAGTGTTGACATCAAATGATCAGGTTCTGCAAATGATTCCAGAAGACCGGTTTTATGAAGGAAACTTCAGGAAGTTTGAATCTGCTTGGCACTTTTTGCGGAGAGATGGTGAAGGGATTCATGGAGAGGAAAGGCAAAATATAACGTGCTTAGCTGGCAAGGAAAAAAGATGAATAACTTTAGAGAAACAGGTATGTGATTAATATATGTGATGATTTACATGTACATGTTTAGACTTTATAGGGACATACACATTCCCGTACCCCCATCAAACCACCACCTCCAGACATATGTATAAGTCCTATTTTGTACAATTTCCAAAGCCCATAACACAATGATACATGTTTGCCTTTCATGCTCACATTATTAGAACCTGTTAAAAACATCTTTTTGGCGTATCAGTTTGCATTGCCTATATATTTATGCAGTGTAATCCACTCCGACTAGCCAATCAGAGCACGATACTTTTTGACTCTGTACATACGCCTCAGATAGGAATTTACCTTTTCATTAATTAGAAATTGCATCATATGTCTCTTGATGGTTAATGGTTAAAAGCGAAATAAATGTGCTGGACATCTAAGGTCATATAGCACTATAAGAAGGTTTAGTAAAGGGTGATGTCATGTGATAGTTGCTATCCGTCAACTATCTAGAGTAATGTTGGAAAGTTGAAGATGGTTAAGGTGGTTGATGAGGGAAAGGGTTATGGTGGTTTAGGTAAGGGAATTATATCAAGGATATGACGTGGGTCTGGTCTGTGAGAACGGAAACCGCAAATATTCCAATGTAGGAGAGCTATATCTTAATTATTTTATGAGTGAAAGCGCCGGTACGTGTTGGGGAATCTGGGGGGGGGGGGGGAGGAGCTAGGGGGTGTTGTGACATGAGTGATTCCCGTGTGTATCCGGGAGGGAGTGGAAAGGATAGAGGGGATGGAGGGAGGGAGAATGTGCGTATAGTTGGAGAATGGGGTGGGTTGTGTTGGGAGGGAGTAGGAGGAAGTGGTGTGGGGGGAAAATTAGTGGTAGGAGAATGGATATCGGAAGGATGGATAGTTGGAGTTGAAGGGGATGTGTTGTCTTGGGAGGGATTAGGAAGAAGGGTCTAGGGGTGCTATGAGTAAGAGGGGGATGAATATCAGGAGGATGGGTATCGGGAGGATGGATATCGGTGGTGGACGGAATTGAGGGGGTTAGGTTGTGTTGAGAGGGAGTAGGAGGAAGGGGTGTAGGGTGAATATGAGTAGGAGGGGTTTGGATATCGGCGATCACTTCAAGTGTGGAGGGAGCATGAGTTAAAGAATTTTGTGTCTCAAATTCCATAGTTTCTGCAGTGGAGTTGGTTAGAGAGTTTTGTGGGACAAAGGTTTTCTTATGAGGGGGGAAGAGGAGACTGGTGTCTGAGGAGTAGAGGTAAATGTAGGTGGAGGTGAGTGTGCGGTAGGGGAAGAAGGAGTGGAACGTTTAGTCTGTCTACTGCTGGTAGTGCGGGGAGGGAGAGGGGATGGTGTTGGGGCTGTAGGTGAGATTGGAGCTGTGGTTGAAATTGGGGTGTCTGGATTTAGAGTGACAAAAGAATTTGACTGGGGGAGGTAGAATGTAGAAGTGGAAGTGGTGGAAGTGGGGAAGTAAGTAGGTATAGGGGAGGGTGTAGGAACATCTTGAGGTGGAGGGGGAGGGGCAGAGCGAGCGACATTACTAGAGTAGGGAGTATGAGAGAAACCTTGTCGACGTGCTTCCTGCCTGGCTACACGTAAAAAAAGAGACCATTTTTGTATCTGAGAGTTGCTACCTCAGACTCAAACTTGTAAGTGGGACACCCTCTATAAAATACATTATGGGGGTCGCCGCAGTTAGCACATGTACGTGTTTGCGCAGAGCAGTTTGATCTGTTATGACCAGGTTGGGCACATGGAGGGCATCGGTCTGTGGAACGGCAGTGTTTGGCAGGATGTCCAAAGCGCCAACAGTTTTGACATTGACGGGGAGGGGGTTGGTTTGGTCGAACAGGGAGGGATTGTCCACCAATGTAGATACGACGTAAGGGAAGGTCATGTGTACGGAAACTAATTTTGGCAATGTTGATCGGTTTCTTTCGTTGACCTCTTGGAGGAATGGTGTAGCAATGTATTGATTTCACATCTTGGTCTTTGAGGCATCCTAATAAGTCTTCTCCACAGTCTGACCAATCTTTGGTATCGACTGGGCAGTTTGCTGGGGAGAGACAGACAGTTCCTATACAAGTATTAAGGGTTGGATGAGGTTCTGCAGGAATGGGATTGCCAGAATGCTGTTAGATTTGATAGTGCTATAGATTCAGTTTCTGATCTGACTGTAACGAGACGGGAGCGATCGCTTCTGGTATAGAAAAGGACTCTGCCCACTTGTTTATGGAGGCATTGTTGAAAGAGAAGAGTGTTGCCTGAGTAAGGAGCTGTGGAAGGGATCACGAAAAATCGGTCCCATTTAGCTGGGCTAAACAGAGTATTTAAGATATTTGTAGGGTTGGTGGCGGTGGATGGTGGAAGAGGGAGTATTATGGAGTGATGGACAATAAAGCTGTAAGGTATTAATAAAGGAGTATGGGGTGCTTGATGAAGGTGATGGGGGTAGAGTTGATGAATTTTAGGAAGTTGGGAAGGTAGGAATGTCTTCTGGAGATTGAGTCTCTGATTGGGTGGGTAATGCATTCGTAAGCAATGACGAGTGGGTAGTAGTTTCAGTGTTCAGAGTCGTAATCCAAGGAGAGCCTGGGGTCGGGGAGCCGGTGGGGCTATTTGATGAAGGGGCAAGCCTCATTGCCCCTTATAAGGGTATTACATCTTCATTACTGGCCATGGGAAGCCTTAATTATGTAAAGGGAAATAAACAGTCCACCCCCCAGTGCCCTGTATGGGGGTAAGGGCTAGACAACTAAATCAGGGGAGTACCGTGCCCATGGTTCCCGCAGGCCGTTCAGGACTGGCACAAGGGCAGCCTTTCATCCTTTCAGCACGGCTCTTACACCTTAGGAAGTAGATAGTAGAAGGGGTTGGAGAAGGGACAGAAACAAAAAGCTGGAGGGGGAAAAGACCATGCAAAATTAGTTGAGTCGAGGGCTGAGGCCCTAGGCAGGGGAGATCACTGCATTGGGCCTCAGTCTCCGTCTCCTAAGCACCCCCACAACAACAACAGTCAAGGGATTGAGGGTCTGTAATTAGAAATTGCATCATATGTCTCTTGATACAAAATTCTTATATAAAGGTTCACAAAACTTTTCTTTGTCTTTTTAGCAGTACACCATTTAGACATGTGTTCACTTTATACAGGTAAAATTTGAAGTCAATCACGATAGTCACTGAAACGACATGGTAGGAATTTGCAATGTCAGATGCTGTGGTATTGCCTAAAGTGGGATGAATATCTTCAAAATAGATCTTTACCTCTATGGTCTTCTATAATATAACCTTACAAACTTAAAAATAACAAAGAAAAGACAGTATATCTTTATTTGTTGATATAATTCAAGCAATAATAGTAGTAAATGCCCGTGATCATTGGAATTATCCAGTTGAGATTCAGACTGTATGCAAACACAGAGCTTAATCATGGTGGATACGAAAAGATGCAAACTATCATGTAACTTCCACTTTTCACTGGAAGAAAAATGCATATAACAAGAAAAAAGTATTCTGACTAAATCCAAGAAATAAGTTTCCAGAAAGTTTTGTCTGTGATTTAAAACTTACCAGCATAGAATAACTGAATTGTTTACCACTGACATTATTATGTGAAAATAAGGAAAATAACTTTTCTTTTAACTTTGTATGTCTTTATGTTATTGATATTGGGTTATGTAGCAGCCATGAAGGAACATCAAACAATGTATTAGTGTTATGGGTTTTGGAATGCCATAAAAAGGGCCTGTATTTACATTTTTAAAAATCTTTTGATCCACATATTCATCTTATCTAAAAAAGTGCCCTTTTTGCCACAGAAGTAAATGAAATATATTCTATTCTTTTCATTATTACAATTATAATTTTATTTTAATTTTTCTTATCAATTACTGTAGCTCTTACAGTCAGAATCACTATCACCATTACTACCATCATCATGATTATGATCATGATCATCACTGTGAGCATCATTATTATTAAAAGGCATAATTTAACTCAAGAATATTTATGGACGAGTAATTTTCACATTTTTAAACCCTTAGAGACGACTATATATTTGCCAATACTGGGCATTCCAATTATGAGAAATGTTATATTTATATATGAAATAAGGTTTGCTATACATAAGTATTTGCTTGTTATCTTTGTCTTCTTACTAAAACTGAGTTTATATATTTCTATAAACAGCTGGTTACAAACTTCTTGATATACTTTAAAATGAATTTGCCAAAATGTGAACATTTTCTTTTTCCTGAAAAATGAAGTTATTACTGGAAAGATTAAGTAACTGACCCTGCAAAAATAAACATTCATTTACCTTTGGTTATCCCAAGGAGGAAAATCAAAGAAAAGAACTATTACATTTTTCATTTTTACTGAAATAAAAAGTTCAGTTACAAAGTTAATATTCCACTGGTACTTTCATCACTCCACTAAATTAAATGCTTCTTCCCCTTAATGTGCTTATGCTTTCAAAAAAAAAATTATAATAATGCATAGACCATTTATTAAATAATCTTGCAAGGCAAATGAATGAAGAAGCGAATTCAGAACATCAAGTATCAACTATCCCTGGTAGAATTCTGGCAATTCATTATGCAAGAATACGCGGCGTTCAACCCCTTCCTTGGTAATGATTGCAACACGCACAACGCCTCCACTGCTTCCATCACGTGTCAGGGCAAGGGTCAATGCTGAGGGAGAAGAGATTTCTATGAGCACAAAGTACCTGAAAATACTAATTGGTTGCCTTCACGTGATATTTTAATAGTATAACTGAATCTGACTGATAATACAAATCATTTCAGCATTTTAACTTTGAATCATCTTTGGTAATATCACACAAAGATATAAAAAAACTATAGATTACTTTGGCCATCTTGAAAATAACATCAAAACAAGTTAAGCTAGTATTTGCAGTCTTCTAAACTTTTTTTAAGTAACATAAAAATTAAGGCATAACTTCTCAGTATAAATCTGATGTCAACATCTGAAGAGAGAGAATAAAAGAGACCAAAAACCTCAAAACAAAAAAGGGGAACTTACTGTTTTTGACAAAATCAACTGTCTGTTCTTTGTTCATGTTGGGCTTGTAGGTGGCATCCACGTAACCCCACACAAAAGTACTGCCCGAACCGCCGATGGCAATGGGCTGTCGCACAATCATACCACCCAAGGGAATGGTGTACACCTGAAAGGATTAACAAACTCGTAGAGGCAAGGGGGGAGGTACAGTGTGAAACTCTCTTACTTGTTTATGCCTTATTGATGTTAATATAATTTTAGCCCTTGAATAACTCAGATCAGATTACTCTTATAGCAAGTGATATTGGCAAAAAAGATCTATCAATCAATCATTCAATCAGTTAATTAACAAATAGGTAAACAGAATTACAAAGCAATTATTCTAAGGACAAAGAAGAGAGACCATCGCAGGAGTAGAACTGGAAATGGGGTGGAGGAAGAGGAGGAAGGGGGAGGAGGACTGAGAAGAGAGAGAGAAGGGCAAGGGGAAGGGCAGAAGGAAGAGGAAGAGGGTAGGGGAAAAAAGCGGAATAGGGGAAAGAAGAGGAAAGGGTAGGGGAAAAGAAGAGGAAGAGGGTGGGGGAAAGAAGAGGAAGAGGGTGGGGGGAAAGAAGAGGAAGAGGGTGGGGAAAGAAGAGGAAAGGAGGGTGGGGAAAGAAAGAGGAAGGAGGAAAGAGGAAGAGGAGGGTGGGGGAAAGAAGAGAGGAGGGTGGGGGAAAGAAGAGGAAAAGGAGGGTGGGGGAAAGAAGAGGAAAAGGAGGGGGGGAAGAAGAGGAAAAGGGTGGGGGAAAGAAGGAAAAGGAAAAGAGAGGAATGGGGGAAAGAAGAGGAAGAGGGAAGGGAAAGAAGAGGAAGAGGGAAGGGAAAGAGGAGAAAGAGGATGGGGGGGAAGAGGGAGAGGGAAAGGGGAGAAGGAAAAGGAAAAAAACAACATAAAAATAGATGAAGAAAACCAACTAAAACCAAAATAGGAATAAAGTTACATAGGTATTTTTATAACACCAACACAACCATGAAAAAAAAAATAAAAAGAAAAGAAAAGGAAAAAAAAAAAAAAATGCCGAACCCCCCTTACCTGGCCCCCGTTGGTCTTGTCCCAGCCAGCAACAATAATTCCAGCCATGAGCATGTCTCGGTAGTTATAGCAGATCTCCTTGAAGGTGTTGGCCGCTACTTGGACAAGAGGGGGCTCGCCAAGCTTCACCCTGTAGAAAGGAGGCAAATATGAACAAGGTGTATCCTTGAATGGAATCTTGGTGTCAGAAAATAAAAGATAAATTAGGAACAGTCTCTGCAGCTGGATATGCCCAGGCAGTGCTATATACTGTGTCTGCTATCATCAAAAAACATAACGAATCTACAAGAAAAAGGCAGGCTTCATGAAAGGGTGACAAAAAACTCCTCACCACTATCATTATCCTCAGGCAGTTTCTCTGAATTGCAGGAAATTATCTTAAGACAATTGCAGATATTGGTTCCATACAAATGTAATAGGCTTGACATGGAAAACTATTCTATGAAAGCTGAAGTAAGCAAGTAATAATGACAAGAAAATAAATGTGCTAGACATCAAAGGTCATATAGCACTATGGTATTGTATTGTGTTGGGAGGGATTTTAAGTTCTTTATTACAATTAAAATGTTAAGTTTCGACGGTCATTTATTGTATGATAGTATAGTATTTAAAGGAGTAGGAGGAGATGGTAGATGGGAGTAGGATAGGTATTGATGAGAAGAGGAAGGGTTAAGGACGATGGGTGATTAGATCAAATGAAGGATATTTATGTCTGAGGAAGGAGAATAAATTATCAATAAAAAAGGTGGGGGATTCTATAAGGATGTCTGACAGGTTGGGGGGTTGAGGAAGATGGGATATGTGAGGAAAAGTAAGGATAGGGCTTTGGTAAAGCGAGGACAGGATATTAGGATATGTGAGACAGAGAGAAGGACATTGCATGTAGGGCATAGAGGTAGGTTAGAGGGATGTGACATGAGGCATGAGTGAGTGATTCTGGTGTGGCCTATTCGTAGGCGGGCAAGGGCAGTTTCCCAACATCTGTTTTGATGGCATGGGGCTGACCAAGGGGAGATTGAGGGTTTTATGGTTTGGAGTTTGTTGGTGCACAGACCTGACCAGAAGGATTGCCATCAGTTGTAAAGAAAAGTTTTGAAGTGAGGGTAGTAGTCGGTGGCTGGGATGCATGAAAAACGGGGTTGGTGACTTGTGGGCAGGGCAGCAGATCGTGCTGAGTTATCTGCTTTTTCGTTGCCGGGAATCCCGACATGGCTGGGTATCCAGCAAAATTTCACTGTTTTTTGTCGTGTAGACATAGAGAATAGATGGTCGTGTACTTTATGGGCTATAGGGTTGGTAGGGTGTATGGATTGTATGAATGATATTGAGTTACATGAGTCAGTGAAGATGATGAAGGATGAGGAAGACATGGAAGATATGCGTTGTAGAGCAAAGAGGATAGCATAAAGTTCTGTTGTAAGGACGCTTGATTTTGTAAGCTGTATGTCTGAGAGGGAAAGACTACAGCAAAACCAGCACCTGAGTTGGATTTAGACCCGTCAGTATATATACGAGTACTAGAGGAGTGACTACAGATATGAGCAAGGAAATGTGTGAGAAGGATAGAAGGTGGAATGTTTGACTTTGGTAGATCAGGGAAAATAGAGGAGCAATTACAAGAGACTGATACTAGCCAGGGAGAGAAAGTTTGGGTAGAAAGAGGAAGAATTCAGAGATGAGGAAATGATGAATGGAAGAGAAGAGTGTCCATACGAACAGGGAAAGGGACAGGTAGTCGTGGAGAGGAAGATAAGCTGCAAAGAAGAGGTTGAGGGACAGTTAGTTTGGAGAGTGAAAATTGGTGGAAGCGAGCATAGTTTCTTAGGGACAGAAGAGCGCGGCGTCTAGAGAGGGATGGTAGTCTTGATTCAATGTATAGGCTCTCAATTGGAGAGGATCGGAAAGCTCCTAGGGCTAAGCGGAGAACGCAATGATGGATAGGATCAAGGAGAGAGAGAAGAGAGGCAGAGGCAGAAGAATATAAATGGCAACTATAGTCAAGTGTAGAGAGAATTAGAGTAATATGGAGATGAAGGAGTGTTTTGCGGTCTGATCCCCAGGATAGGTGAGAGATGGTTTGTAGTAGTCGGAGGCGATGGCGAGCTTTTCCTTTAATAGAAAGATCCCGCCAAGATAACTTGGAGTTGAAAATAATTCCAAGAAACTTGCCGGAAGATCAGGATTGGATGGGGGTATCATAAAGGAATGGAGGTTGGGAGCTTATACGTGAACGAGAGAAAAGGATGGAGAAGGTTTTAGAGGTAGAGAAACGAAAGCCATGGTTGATAGCCCAGGAAGAGATTGATGTTAGTGACGACTGGATAAGTTGATGGAGAACTTTTATGGAACGGTCGGAGGCGAATATGGCTAGATCATCTACATACAGTGATGAACAGATTTTTGATGGTAAAGCTGATATTAATCCGTTTACAGGTATGAGGAACAGTGTGGTGCTCAGTACACTGCCATGTGGGACACCTTCAAACTGAGGAAAGGAGGGGGAAGTGGAAGAGGCAAATCTGACACGGAAGGTGCAGTCAGAGAGGAAGGATTTTATAAAAACACCCATGTTTCCACGTATTCCATGGAAACATGGCTGTTGTAGTATATGGTGCCGCCAGGTAGTATCATATGCTTTTTCGAGATCGAAAGACACAGCTAATACTGACTCATGGCCTGCAAATGCTGAAGTGATTAGTGTTTCTGCATAGGCTAGCGGGTTAGCTGTGCTTTTGCCTCAATGAAATCCGAATTGATTTGGTAGTATTCTAGGTACCACATCAATCTGAAATTTATCATTCGTTCCATTAATTTACATAGGCAGCTTGTTAGGGCTATGGGTCGGTAGTCTTGGGGAAGAGTACCTGTTTTGTTAGGTTTCAGGAAAGGTAATACTATGGCTTCTCTCCAGTGGGGAGGAAAGTTTCCAGTCGTCCATATGTTATTGAATATTGAAAGAAGGAAGGATAAGGAAGTAGGAAAAAGGTGTGTCTGCATACAGTAATGTATACCGTCTGGTCCTTCATGGGTGTTGCGGCATGACTGAAGTGCATTATAGATCTCAGAAGAAGAAAAGGGTGCATTATAAGGTTCTGTAGATGATAGGGAGAAAGAGATAGGAGTGCACTCTTTGTCTGATTTTCAGGAAGAGAAATGAGGAGAAAGATGAGAGCCACTAATGACTTGGCTAAAAAAGGCACCAAGTTCAGTAGCTACTTGAAGAAGGTCAGAGATGAGGTTATTATGAATATGGAGGACAGAGGCAGGACGAGGAAGATGTTTTCCGGATAACTTATGGATCCGCCGCCAGACTGCAGAGATTGGTTTGGAGGATGTTATGGAGGATACATAGTTTTGCCAGCTGTTTGTCATGGAGTTACGAATTGTACAGCGAAGATGGGCTGACGCTTTTTTAAAAGATATGAAGGCTGTTAGTTGACTGGGGGTGCCTCTCTTGTGTTGGTAGCTATTCCAAGCTGCGCGCTTCAGACGAAGTGCTTTTGTACATTCAAGGTTCCACCATGGAACACATTTTGAGTGTTAAGTCAGGATGTTCGAGGGATGGTTATATAGGCTGTATTTAGGACGTTAGTTGTGAAGTATTAGAGCATTTCTGAGGTGGTAGAGAATGGTGATGGAGGAAGTGCAAGAGTAGATAGAGAGGTAAAGGTATTCCAGTCTGCTCTGTCAAAGCACCAGCGAGGGGGATTTGGGAGTGGGATATAGGATGTTGAAGAAAGAAGAATTGGGAAGTGATCACTAGAGTGAAAATTGTTTAGGACAGACCAGTGGAAGTCTATATGAAGGATAGGAGAGCAAAGAAAGAGATCTAGGCATGAAAAAGATTGAGTGCGTAGGTCGAAATGAGTGGGACTGTTGGAGTTTAGGAGGAAAAGGTCAGTTTTAGCTAGATATTGTTCTAAGGAGCGACCCGTTGTATTGATAATAGATTCACCCTAAAGAGTATGGCGATAGTTAAAGTCTCCAGCTATTAGGAAAGGTGGTTGGAGTTGGGAAAGTAAGGTCTCTAATTCTAGGAAGTCAATAGGGAGGGAAGGAGAGAAGTAGACTGAAATTATTGTGATCCAGCGGCGGAGGAAAATCCGGATAACTGTGCAAGGTATAGTGGTTTGTAAAGGAGGTATGATATATGGTGTTTTATGATAAACAAGTATTGAAGAAGCAAATATAGAATGAGGGAGTGACACAAAATGGTAGTTGGGAATTGGTACTGGAGGATGTGTGAGAAAGGTTTCTTGGAGGCAGATGATAGATTGATTGTAAGAGTTGAGAAGATGGCGAAGATCAGGTCTGTGTGAGCGAAAACCTCTAATGTTCCACTGCAGTAGAGCCATTGTGGATCATTCTTCAACTATTATGGGTGGCAATGTGTGTCTGAGAGGTAGGAGGAGGGGTATCTGGGGGTTGAGGTATGGGATCAGGGGATGGAGGTAGTAGTGTAGTATCAAGAGAATCATTATGGGAAGGGGGGTCAGGGGGAAAAGGTGAAGGTATAGAATCTGGAGGTTCATCAAGAAAGGTGGGATCTGGGGAAGGACATTGTGCTAGAAGGGATTCATGTGTGTATCCAGGAGGGAGTGGTAGGGATAGTAGGGAAGGAAGGGTTTTTGGTTTAGGTACGGGTGGTGGAGTGGATAGGGTGTGTTAGGAAGGTGTGAGAGGAAGAGCGGTAGGGGGGTTGTCAGGAGGCGGAGGATGGATTTCAGCAGTCACTGTGAATGCAGCCGGAATCTGGGTAGAGAAACTGATGGATGGTTGAGAAGGAGGGCCTTTCTCTTGTGTTATACGTAGAAAGTTTCTTATGTCCTCAAGGGTTTCTGGGGGGGGATTTGGGTGGAGAGGTTTGGGAAAAGAAAGATCTTTTAGGGGGAAGTGAAGAGAAGATCGGTATCTGAGAATTTGAGGGTGCAGGTGTGGGATGGGGTCTGGTAGGAAAGGATGGGGTGGGGCATTTGGGTTGTCTGATGCGACTGGCAAGGCATGAAGTAGGAAGAGACATGGGAGTTGTGGATATTGGAGTATCTGGATTTAGGATGGAAAAAGGATTTGATTGGGGGATATGAGAATTAGAGATGGGAAGTTGAGGAGCAGGGGAAAGTGGTGCTGTAGATGTATAGACCACTTGGGTAGTATGGATGGGAGTGGATTGATGTAAGGTACTGGAGTACGTTGTGATTGAAAAACCTCTTCGTCGTGCTTCTTGTATGGCTTCTCGTAGAGTGAGTCCTAGTTTGAATCCAAGATTTGCTACTTAACTCTCAAATTTGTAGGCTGTGCAGCCTGTATAGAATACACTATGAGGTCCGTCACAATTTGCACATGTACGTGATTGTGCAGGGCAGTTTGTACACTCATGACCAGGTTGCGCACATAGTGGGCAGTGGGTTGTAGACAGAAGTGCTTTGCAGGGTGGCCAAAACACCAGCATTTCTGGCATTGGTGGGGTGGGGGTTGATATGGTCTTACAGGGCAAGAAACCCCTCCTATATAGACCTTATGAGGAAGGTCGTGTCTATGAAAGGTAATCTTGACAATATTGATGCTGGACTTACGATTGCCTCTGGGGGGAATAGAGTAGCACTGTACTGATTCAGCATCATATTCAGTGAGGCAACCAAGCAGGTCATTTTCACAGTCTGTCCAGTCCTTTTCATAGACAGGGCAATCAACTGAGGAGAGGGAAACAGTTCCAGTACATGTATTAAGGGAAGGGTGAGGTAGAGCGGGTAAAGGTTTGCCAGTGAGGTCAACCAGGGTAGATGGTGCTTTAGCTTGAGTCTCAGATGTAACTGTGATTAATCGTGATCGATCAGGACGACTACGGGAGAAAACTTTGCCAACTTGTTTTGGAGGCATTGTTGAAAGAGTAGGGTGTCATCTGAATGAGGGGCTGTTGGGGGAACTATAAAGTATTGGTCCCATTTGGCTGGTTTAAACAGATTATTCAAAAAGATTAAGGAAGTGGGAATTGTAGAGGGGCGAGGGAAGGAGGAGGAGGGAGTGGTGTGAGGTGAGGTTTTATTATGGAGGTGTGGGCGATATGGTTGAAGAGTTGTGATAAGGGAGGTTTGGGTATAATGTGAAGATGATTGTTCAGGAAGTGGGATGGATGATGTTGGGAGTGAGGATGGGATATCTTCTTAGAGTTGAGTTAGTATCTGGGTAGATGATTCATGATGGGTTAGGTTGGTAGTATGTATAGAGGAGGGAGGTGTAATGGGAGTGTTCTGAGCCATGGTCAAAGGGGAGTCAGGGGTCGGTAAACTAGAGGATTCAGATTCAGAGAGGCTGTTTGATAAAGGGGCAAGCCTCGATGCCCCTAATAAGGGTACAAAATCTTCATTACTAGCCATGGAAAGCCTGGTTTTATGTGGGGAAGGTAAACAGTCAACCCCTCAGAGTCCCTGTAAGGGGTAAGGGCTAAATGATTTATCGAGGAATACCGTGCCCATGGCTCCCTGAGGCCATTCATGACTGGTACAAGGTCAGCCTTTCATCCTTTCAACACGGCTCTTACATCTTAGGAGTTTGATAGGTGAAGGGTTGGGGAAGATAAGAGAGAGAAAGAAGGAAGAGAAAAAGACTGTGCAAAAATAGTTGAGGCAAGAGCTGAGATCCAATGCGGGTGAGATCTCCCGCACTGGATCTCAGTCTCTGTCTCCTAAGCCCCCCACGACAACGGGCAAGGGATTGGGGGGGAATGAAAGCTGAAGATGGCTTGAGAAAGATGTTTAACACCTATGAGAAGTGTCTTTAATATTCCAAGAAACCTTTTTTTCTCCCCCACCAAAAATTTTAATCTTTTTTTTTTTTTTAAGCCAAAATATGTCCAGATAAATAGTTAAATGAAAAAAAAAGTTTATAATCACCCACACAAACCAACTGCTGGATTTTCTCTCTTGCAGTAAAATTTACTGCCTCAGACCCTAAATTTAAATCAATAAGAAATTTAACTTCAAACAGATAAAAAAAAAAATCTTATACTGTTCAAAACAATTGCACAACTTGTGGTAAATCTTACAAGATTCAGCAAGCAACATAAAAGTATATAACTTCAGAGTGGCAACCCTACTGATGAGTAATTCTTGGCTAATGAACTTAGTACAGAAAACTTGATTCTTTGATACTCTCCCCTTCTGATGGCATACCTGACTGAACTTACTTTCCTTCTTTAAACAGACTTCATAACAAAAAAATTACAGAAATTTGGCTATCAAGATACTTGTTTATCTTATGAGTGTGTTCTTCTAGATTCAGCCACTGAGTTGTGATATAAATGTATTTCTATTGGTGTATGTGCTTAGAACAAGGAAAACATATATGCTATTATCAAATACTGATTTTCAAACCATTCTGTGACCCTCGGGCACATCCTTATACTTTTCAACTGGATTAAAACTGAGTTTGGGTGGTTTAAGTGAAACTTTACATCAATCATTGTGGAAAAAAATCTTTATGAATTTGCTTTCTCATAGCAGAGGAAACACCACCACCCATACATCTGATATCTTGAAATGTTTCCTCTATACAAATTTACTATAACATACCTAATTCACTATACTCTTTCTTTAGTTGTTAAATATGGTAATTTATTTCTTAGAATAAATATAATTTATTTCTGGATTTATTTATGACCTAACAAAAACTTAAACAAACCTCAAACCATAATCATATCAGAAAAAACTAGACAAGTAATACTTACTGTAGAATCTCCATGTGTGAAGACACAATGTCAGCAATGGCCTGGGTGTCAGCTGCTGAACCGGAACGACAACAATAGATGCTATCAGTGACACGTGTTAGCTTGTCAGTTACACGATTTGAGACATAGGTTCCTAGCGAGGTCCTGGAATCAGCTCCCACAACCACACCGCCATCAAACTCGACAGCCATGATGGAAGTCTGAAAGAAACAGCACAGGTGAGTGGCTCCATAGACAATGTGAGACTTCAGGGGTCTCTCATGGTTTGCTAATCTATAAGACTAGGTTGAAAATGATCAGCCACATATTGTTCCCAGCACTATAAGAGATAACCCAAATAAAAATTCCTACAAGCTTTTATAAGACTTGTATGAATGTGCAAGGTATGTTGGTATAAATGGCTGAGCACTAGTGGAATCATCTATTGTAAAGGTATTTCTCAAGAAAACACTACAGTGGACATTGCATGATCTAAGCATCATTGGAGGAAAATCTGGACAGTATGGCCCCACTTGGTTAGGGCAAATTGAAGCTGATATTCATATAGAAGACAAAAAGTAATAATGGTTGGTACCAGAAATAATTTGCAGACATGAATGGTAACGCCACAAATAAAGGAAAAAGGTCACGGAAAGCATCGCTCACAGCCTAAGTCCACTCGGTGCTCCAGCGGCAAAGTCTACTTGCTCAGCGCAAAAGAAGAAGTTGCTGCGCAGCTCGCACACCATCTTCTGCCCTACTGCGCACCTACATCACCACTACCTCATGACCAATCAGGAGGCAGCAGTTTAGCCAAGATTTTAATTGCTCATTAACCCAGTCACGCCAGGTACATTTTGTAGCCAAAATAAAAAAATCCGGGCGGCTACAAAATCGGCGGGCGGAGCTTCCCCGGAGTCTGTCCGCCCGCCCGCACGCACGGCGCTGCTACGTCGGAGCGCAGCCCCAATATAGCATCACACTGGCGGGCCGCCTGGCAATGTTTATTTTTTCCGGTGTCTCATATATGTGACACCCGGGGCGAATAGGTTAAAGGTCAAGTATGATATTCCATATACTATATCATAAAATTGCACACAACTATTGACTAAATTTTCATATATATTCATGTCTCAACCGTTTTTTACGTTAAAATGTGTATTTTGATCCTCAATTTGGGCTAACTTATTCTTAATTGCCAAACTACTCAAACAATACAGTTGATACTTAAAACATTTTGAGTGTGCAAATAACGGGCACATTTCTGGACTACACCAGTGACCTGCCTCATTCTTCTCAGTAACAATGATCAATTGTGTGTCAATTGTGCTATGGTGGTGTACTAGACTTTTTCGAAGTTTAATGGAAAAACTGAAGAATTAATTAATTACAGATTCACAGAATCATTCTAAACGACAAAAAACTGAAAAGTGCAAAGCAATTTGCACACTTGATTTGAAAAATAAGAATTTTAGATGTGATAAAACTAGAAAAATAAATAATATAAGAGTGAGGTGTAATTTCAAAAAAACTTTTTCACAAGATTTGGTTCGCCAAATCTAATTTGGATATAGAAACTAGTTTATAATTTTTTAACTATTCTCTGGTAAGAGATGAACTAAAGTCATCAGATAAGACTATATGTGACTGGTAAGTTTTTGTAGGGAAGTGCTCATTCCTTTGGCATTTGACACGCAGTACAGCAAAGATTGGTGGCCCTGGCACGATCATTGAAATTGACGGAACAAAATTCGGAAAAAGAAAGTACAATGTCGGCAGGGTAATGGTGGGCCAGTGGGTTTTCAGTGTGGTGTGCCGAGAAAGTTTTTTTTTTTTTTTTTTTTTTTTTTTTTTTTTTTTTTTTTTTTTATTCTGGTGCCCTCAAGAAATGCTGAGACCTTATTACACATTATCAATTAGTGACTGCTGGAAGGCATATGATTGTCTCAGTAAAGAGATTTAATGACATGACTGTGAATCACTCTCTCAATTTTGTTGATCCTGTCACTGCACCACACACAAACACCATTGAGCGCAAGTGGTGGGAAGCGAAGGCAAAGGTACTGCACTACGGCAGGAGGAAGTACCATTTTGTTGGACATCTCTCTCGGGCGATGTTCTTAATGAACATCTCCGACGCAACTCAACACTTACATCGCTTCCTCCTTGCCGCTGCTAATTTGTACCTGCCAGAGTAAGGTACATCGCTATATAGGTTACTTCTTACATTGAATATGATTTTCAGTAATGTGCATTTAGAGGTTTTCTTTGGCCTCCCTGGCTGCTTTTTCTGCAGTGGCAGGTCAGTGTCTCACAGTCTTGAAATTTTTTTGTCCACCTCTGCACACTTCACAACAAAACTCCATTTGTATTTGATATTGTATTTGATATTTCCATATTGGACTTTCCCGCTTTACAGTGCTGTAATAAATAACTGCAATCTGATCACTTTTCTGCTATTCACAACACACTAGCCAAAAACAGCAACAGAACTCAGGCAAAATGCTAGGCTATTCATAAAAAAAAACACGTGGCAATTTTGCTCACAGTCACTGCCCAGAGGCAATTGAGTGATATCTGAAACTGCCACTGTGGAGTCAGATGACTTATCTATCAGCTTACTGCGTGCCAAGATTATTTGCCAATTTAGCATATTAGAGGGGTATAACCAAAAAACGTCAAAAATCTTGTCCTGGATCCTGACTTGCACTGTATGAGAAATAATCTGGAAACATGAACAATAACACCAAAAATAAAGGAAAAATATTGTCGGAAGTGCCGCTCCCAGCCCAAGTTCACAAGGTCCTCCCAAGATGCAGCTTTATCTTGCTGTGTATACAAGGTGAAGACAATGTTCCCTGGAGGTATTGGGGGTAGAGCTCCCCATAAACTCTCCTCTGAGGAAGTGCCCCGATTGTTGAATCAAGTTTATGATGAGGAGTTACAGACTTCATTGTTGGCAAGTGGTCTCTGTACAGTAAAGAATTACTCATAATGACAGTATTATATACGAATCTAAGGATATTATGACAAAGAATGGAAAATGCTAAGGTTAATCTTTACCGAATGGACACATTAAGATTGGGTAAATGAAGATGTCATTCTTGAGGAGGCCGAAAAGTTAAGCTTTTGATTAAATTCTTTCAAAAACTAGACAAGTAATGTCTGAGAGGGTCTGGGAGCTAAAGTTAGGTTAGGAAAGTTTGGTAAATTTACAGTGGATAACAATCAGGAATTGTGTAAAAAAAAAAAAAAAAAAAAAAAGATATGGAATGGTTACCTTGACGAAAACCGTGACACTTTTCATAGGTGCGCAAATCGAAAATAAAGGAGTTACACGACAGAGAAGATAAAAGACCGACCCATCTTTTTCTAAGTCCCTCGCCCTGTTGACATTGTGAATGTAAACAAAATTGTGACCAGTCAACTCATTCTTGCGCTCTGTTGAGTAGTTCATGTATTACTATGCAGTTGTAAAAAACGATATTTGGCTAATTATCAGTGTCTGCTGTTCCACATATATGCTTTCAAAGGCCTTTGTTAACGTTATTATACCTCATTTTCATGTTTCAAGATTTATTAGACAGTGACTTAAGGAAATCGGTCTAAAGCACCTTCTGCGCAAGCGCATTTTTGCATTTCTGCCGCCAGGTTTGACAGGAAGATTCCCGGCCAGTCCAGTGACAGGAGACCAGTGAGAAATGTTTCGTTTTTGGTGTTACGTTGATTCTAGATTGTTCTTAAGACTATACAGTGGAAACGAAGAAAAAGACCTTAATAACTATCGCAGTTTGATTTCTGAGGCCATCAAGTACCCCAAATCCTGAAAAAAGTGATAAAAACGAAGCAATCACATCCACAATAGACCGACCGACTGCTCAAAAGAAACGAAGGAAAACTGACAGTTCGGTCTTTCGATATAAAAAGGTATTTGGTTTATTGTTTAAAGTATGGATGTAGCTCTATCTTGCCGTACATACCGAGGTGAAGAGAATGTGTCCCGGGGGGTGTTAGGGGGCTTGACCCCCCATCAAGCCTCCCCTCAGGCCTAGTCATGGCACCGTAAATTGCTAGGTTAGGTTGGGTTATAGGTTAGGACGTTTATATGAGTTTGGAAGGTGTGAAATCCCGTAGATTTTGTAGTTTTTCGAACTCTGGCACGTCTTAACACCCGGGACTTAACACTTCAAAATCGTCAGCTGTGATTGCTACTGAAATGATTAACAGATTCATTCTCATCACATGAGAATAAATCTAATGATATAAACATTGTCTGGGAAGTCCCGATTGTCATAATCGAAAAATTAACCAAAAGTTTACATTCATACAATGATGTTTGTAGATTTCCAGGACTGCGACTAACGCTCATATTGGGAGGCACTTCAGACACCGTTTTTAACCCATTCACGCCAGGGTATTTTGAAGCCAAAAATAATTCCAGGCGGCTACAAAATCGGCAGGACTTCCACAGAGTCTGTCCGCCCCCTGGCCGCAGCCAACTGCTGTGTCGGAGCGCAGCCCCGATACAGTGTCACACTGGCAGGACACCCGGCATGGTTTATTTTTTTCGAGTATCTCATATATGGGACACCCATCGCTAATGGGTTAAGGTGGTTGTCTGGAAATATGGACCTCCATCAGGGTGGCGACAGAGTCCCCATTGGCTCTGGTTGGTTGCGACATGAAACAGCTTGGTAGTCATTGGCTAACATGCATGAGAAACTAGACATTTGGATCCAGCTACTCCGAAGACATAAGTAGTAGTCCACAAAATATGCCTGAAGCATCTCCCAATGTGAGTGTTTGTCTCAAAGGGTGGTAATTGTTGAAGACCGCGACGCACCCTCGCAGAGACTAAGTCGAAAAAAATGATGTTTTTCTGCATGAAATCCTATGATTTCATTGATTTTTGGCGTTGTTTCTTTTGCGATTAATCGTTCAGGAGATCGAGTACCATTTCTCCATCGACGATCTTGATTTGATAGTCCCGTTAGCAGGGGAGGGCATGAAGTATATCAGGGAAATTATGGGGTAAAACAAGCTTAAATAAGAAGAATAACGATCAAAAATGCATAAAACTAGCACAAAAAGCGCTTAAAATCGGACAATGAAACTCTACGGATGTAACCGCCATCTTTGAAAGTTTACGGACTGGCGCGAAATAAATCAAAAACTCCACGGGAACCCAACCCACATTTCGGCAAAAAAATCTACGGGAATTTACACGTTCCAACCCCCAAAAACGTATTGACCAATAAACCAACCAACCTAATATATCAATATAAATTGCCGTGACTAGGCGTGTCCTTCGGGCACTGCCCGAGGAGAGGGTTGATGGGGGGCAAGCCCCCCAACACCCCCCAGGACACATTCTCTCCACCACGGTATGTACGGCAAGACAGAGCTGCATTCACACCGTAAAATAATAAACCAAATACCTTTATATCAGGAAACGTGAAACTTTCATTTCTTTGTACTGTTGGGATTGCTTCGATTTTAATCACCTTTTTCGTCCTTTGGAGCTCTTGATGGGCTCAGATATAAAACTGGGATGGTTACTAAAGTCGAATCATTCTTCGATGCCACTGTAAAGGTCTTAAAAAAGAACCCAGAATCAACACAACACTGGAAACGCAACATTTCTCACCGGCTTTCAATCTCGAAATGAGCGGGTTGGTGAGCTGTCAACCTGTGGCTGGCGCAAGAAAGTGTGAAACACTCGATGCGCAGGATTCGATATGAGGGTATAGATAAATATAAAAATATGCAATTGAAGTATAACATTACTAAAAGACTTTAAAGGTATAAATGCGTACCAGCAGACACAGATAATTAGCCAAATATCGTTTTGACAAGCGCGTAATGATACACGGACTACTTCGCGAACGCAAAAATGTGTTTGTGGGTCAGTGTCGTGTTTTTCCTAGCAAGGTAAACAAGCTCATCGACTTTGAATTTGAAAGGCGGCCGCGCGTTATATTTTCGTCATTTAGCGGTGACTATAAGGCCAGTGCATCTTAAACTATACGCTATCCCCTTCTATTTTTCCCGCTCTATAAGATGGCGGTGTCCATTTTCCTCTATCTACGCGCGTCGCGGTCTTCAACCTCTACCCACAGGGTTTCAGTCACACTATAGTCAATCACTATTAGTTTGTTCATTCACGTTGAGGCCATGGTCTCCAAAAGATGCTGTGACATTGAAAACCCCTTCCCAAAATAGACAAATAACACTACAAAGAAAGTCAGCGACGTGGAATTCCGGTCAATATGCATAACAGGGTGGGGGCTTACTTTCGAACTAATTTTGATATTTATCTGCATGAAATCCACTGATTTCAACGATTCTTGATGTTGTTTCTTGTGCAAATGCTTCGTTGGTAAGATCTGAGTACCACTCCATCTACTATCTTAATTTGTTAGTCCCGTTAGTAGGGGAGGGAATGAAGTATATCAGGGAAATTATGGGGTAAAACAGGCTTAAATAAGAATGATAACGAATAAAAACACAAAAAACTAGCTCAAAAATGGCTAAAAGTCGGCCATTGAAACTCTACGGACATGCCCACCATCTTTGAAAGTCTACGCACCGGCGTGCCAAATTTAGAAAAACTCTACAGGAATACAACACATATTTCGGCGAAATCTATGGGATTTCACACCTTTCAAGCACCAAAAAACGTCCTAACCCATAACCCAACGTAACCTAGCAATTTACTGTGACGTGACTAGGCGTGCCCTTCGGGCACTGCCCAAGGGGTGGGTTGATGGGGGGCAAGCCCCCTAACACCCCCGGGACACATTCTCTTCACCTCAGTATGTACGGCAAGATAGAGCTACATCCATATTGTAAACAATAAACCAAATACCTAAATATCGAAAGACCGAACTGTCAATTTTCCTTTGCTTCTTTCAGTCGGTCGTGGATCGTGGGTCGCTTCGTTTTTATCACTTTTTTTGGGATTTGGGGTACTTGATGCCCTTAGAAATGGAACTGCGATAATTATTGAGGTCTTTTTCTTCTTCATTGCCACTGCATAGTCTTAGAAATAACCTAGAACCAACGCAACAACGAAAACAAAACATTTCTTACCAGCTCTCTGTCACCGACTACCCGCGAATCCACCTGTCAAAACTGGCGGCGAGAAACGCGAAAATACGCATGCGCAGAAGGTCCTTCAGACCGATTCCCGTTAAAACCTGTATAATCAATCTTAGAACACGTAAATGAGGTATAAAAACATTAATAAAGGTCTTTGAAAGCATAAATATGGAACGGCAGACACTGATGATTAGCAAAATATCCTTTTCACAATCGCGCAGCAATACATGCACTAGTCTGAACAGCGCAGTAATCGGTTATGTGTCCAGTCCAATGTTTACTTTCGTCATGGAAAGATAATGATGGACTTATGCAAAATTAGGCCCTCATCTCTGTTCATTTACGTATAACACCTTTGGGAAGCATTTGCACAAATATTGCCATAGAAGAAAAGAGTTTTGGTTTGGGTAATTTTCTATATTACCTTCGCCACACCGATATCGACGATTTTGGTATCGTTGGATTCTTCTCTCTCTCCACATTCCAAATATGTAGGTTTTATTGCGCGGAAACCCCCCATTAGCGAGAAACTTGGCCCCGATTGCAAGGAAGGGCATGGAAGGTTCTAGAGAAAATCGAGGTTAAATAACACTAATAATATAACCCACAGTGAAAATAACCATGGTTATTCATATAACTTTCCATTGCAGGGGGCTGCCGCCCCCTAACCCCCGCCGAGGAAACAAAACCTCCACCACGTATTCCCGGCAGGCTAGAGCGTTACACAATTCTCATCGATTGCGGAGCGGCGGACGTATTTACCTCGTCACCCCCGATATAGTGCCCAAGTTTGCCGCTAACAAGGGGTTTTCGCGCAATAAAACCTACATCTTTGGATTGTACAGAGTGAGAGGAATCCAACAATAACTAAATCGTCAAAATTACTATATTAAGTCCGCTGCTCCGACCGCCGCTCTGACATCGTCAACCCCCGATATAGTGCCCAAGTTTGCCGCTAACAAGGGGTTTTCTCGCAATAAAACCTACATATTTGTTTTGTACAGAGTGAGAGGAATCCAACGATACCAAAATTGTCGATATCGGTGTGGCGAAGGTAATATAGAAAATTACCTTGGTTTGTATAGGTCTATCGATTTATATAGGTTTTATATCCCAACTCAGACCCCACCTCATACTGCATATTGTCCGGAATTCCTTTCATAAATTTCCTAGGAAAATACATGCAAGAACATTCAACAATCTTAAAAACTAAAACAAGAAATAGAAACCTGACATACCACAAACTCACACCTAAATCATACCAAGAAACACAACGAAATACACAGAGTAATAAATAAAAAATATTAAAAATGCAACCTCACACCCGGCACCCCAAAACAAACCCTTTCCTCCCATGGCGAAAATAACACGAAAACCTCCCGTTTTCCAGAAATATTTAACACAAACAGACCCGCAAATACAACAGCGACTCAACTCACTCCCGTAAGAAGCTCATTTTTCATCCACTCGGGCAGGAGAGCGTCAGAGAGGCGCCCGCGGGCCCGGAGGTGGGGTTTGGGTTTTGCTGGTTTTTTTATTTGTCAGTCTTGTTGTTTTTATTTTTATAGACGGACTTTTTGTTCCGTTGAGAAGTCTGTTGTTATTAATTGGTATTGAAGATACGGACTTATCATATAGTTGTCAATATTTTTTTTCGCTATACATTATTTTGTATTCACGTTTTTTCCGTTGAAATATTGGAATTTTGTTTAGATCTCATCATGGGTTTATTTAAGAAAGACATAATGATGATGATATTGAAAATTAGGAAGATAACAACAACGGCAGAAAACAACAAATGAAATGCCGATGACAGTGATAATTATAATCATTGCAATAATGATAATTATATCGACGATGATAACAGTGATGGTAATAATAACAATAATAATAATAGTAATGATAACAATAACAATAATGATAATAATGACAATGGTTATTATCATCATTTTATTATTATTTTTATAATAATAATAATGATAATAAAAATAGTAATAACAATAGTAACAATAGCAGTAACAATAATAATAATAATAATAATAATAATAATAATAATAATAATAATAATAATAATAATAATAATAATAATAATAATAATAATAATAATAATAATAATGATAATAATGATAATAATAATAATAATAATAATAATAGCAATAATGATACTTATATCGACGATGATAACAGTGATGGTAATAATAACAATAATAATAATAATAGTAGTAGTAATGATAACAATAACAGTAATGATAATGATAGTGGTTATTATCATCATTTCATTATTTTTTTATAATAATAATAATATAATAATAATAATAATAACAATAGTAACAATAGCAGTAACAATAATAATAATAATAGCAATAATGATAATAATAACAATAATAATAATAATAATAATAATAATAATAATAATAGTAATATAAATGATAATAATAACAGTAATAATTATAATGATAATAATAATGATGATGATGATGATGATAATAATAATAATAATAATAATAATAATAATAATAATAATAATAATAATAATAATAATAATAATAATAATAATAATGATGATGATGATGATAATAATAATGATAATAATAACAATAATGATAATAATAATAATAATAATACAATAACAATAATAATGATAATAATAATTGTAATAGTAATACTACTACTACTACTAATAATAATAATAATGATAATAGCAATAATAAAAATGATAATGAAAATAATAATTATGATAATGATAATAATGATAATGATGATGATGGTGATAATAATGGTAATAGAAAAATAAAATAATAATAATAATGATACTAATAATGATAATGAAAATAATAATGAATGACTAATATACTACTACTACTACTACTAATAATAATAATAATATAATAATAACAATAATGATAATAATATAATAATAAATGATAATAATAATAATAATAACAATAATAATAATAAATATAATAGTAATAGTAATTATAATAATAACAACAACAACAACAACAACAACAATAATAATAATAATAATAATAATAATAATAATAATAATAATAATAATAATAATAACAAGATTGTGATTGAATGCTGGATAAGAAGTGAACCCACAAAAAGAAAGTACAGGCAGAAAATGAAGCAGATATGGGACGAAACAGGAGTGTTCCCCATCACAGAGCAAAGATTAGCAGATCAAGCCAGGCAAATTCGGGTGAATAAATGGCTTACAGACATGGATATTGAGGAAATTGAAAGAAAGTGAGCGGATAGTCATAGCGAAGAAACTGGCGATGCGATCAGCAATGAGGAAGCGGAAGAACAAGCTATACAAGGACGTGATGTTGAAGGACAACAGGAAATGGTAATTCAAAATGGCACTGATCAAGAACTCACAAGAGAGACAAGTGATAGGCCTTTCGATGAGCAGCAAGAAGAAGAGCCCGAAGATGAAAGAGAAGAAAACTGGATGTTTCCTGAAGATGATGAAATGTTGATCAGAAGAGCGGAGATTGAAAACTACGAGGAAGAAAAAGAAGCATTGCGAAAATTAATGAATGAGAGCAGACAAAATCCGGAAAAGAGCCCTCCAAACCTCAGATATAGTGATAGGAAGAAAGTCAAAGCAGCTACAATGAAAGTGAACAAAGTCCTAGCTCCAATCAGAACTAAGTCAATAACGGAACAAACATAGTATTGCGTGCAGCTGGAAATGTTGTATCGGAGTTGGTGGGGTATAAGGCAATGAATAGGAAGGAAGACAAGACACCGCATTGGAGGAGAAGAATTTTTGACAAACAGGTTTTACGCAAGGATTTAGGCCAGTTGAATAGGATGAAAAGAAATGAGTTGAGAAATGAAAGTACAATAACAAAGCTCGAAAGGAAATATTGCATTGAAGAAAAGGGAGCATCTGTTGTTCATGAAGAAGTTAAACAAAGGTTAGTTGCAATTGGAGCAAAACTTGAAAGATATGATAATAGGACAAGTCAGTACAGACAGAATCGCTTGTCTGAATCAAACCAAAAGAAATTGTTCGATGAATTAGATGGAGTGGAAAGGGAAACGGTGGTACCTGATGCAGAGGAAAGTACTAGATTCTGGAGTGAAATATAGGACAATTCAGTAAAACACAAGGAGAATCCAGAGTGGTTGAAGAATGTGGAGGATGAGTTAGCAGGAGTAGGAGTGCAAGAGGACATACGTATCGAGACACCGAAATTGAGAAAGCAGATAAGGAAAATACCGAATTGGAAAAGCCCTGGTCCTGATGGAGTGCAAGGGTACTGGATAAAGAATTTGACTAATTTACATGGTAAGATAGCAATTCAACTGGATAAGTGTCTCCAAGAAAATAGCGTGCCACTATGGATGGTGACAGGGAAAACAGTACTTTGTGTAAAAGATTTGGCAAAAGGAAGCGCAGTTGACAATTTTAGGCCAATTACATGTTTGCCGCTGCTGTGGAAATTACTGACTGGGATCATAGCGGAAGAATTGTATAATTATCTTGAAGAAGCAGCATTATTGACATGGGAACAAAAAGGTTGCAGAAAAGGAAGCCGTGGGACTAAAGACCAACTTCTAATTGACAAAATGATCTTGAAAAATTGTAAAACACGTTTAACTTCATTAGCTGTTGCATGGATTGACTATCGTAAAGCTTACGATATGGTCCCTCATAGCTGGATAGAAAAATGTCAAGTCTTTCATAAGCGAGTCAATGAAAAAGTGGAACACAGAATTAAATGCGGGCCAAACCAGACTTGGAAACGTAAAAATAAAGCGAGGAATTTTTCAGGGGGATAGTTTATCACCACTGCTGTTTGTCTTGACGATGATCCCGTTGACGCTGTTGCTAAGGAAAATAAATATCTTTTATGAAGTAAAGAAGAAAGGAGAAAGAACCATTTACTTTTCATGGACGACTTGAAATTATTCGCAAAAGATAAAGATCAAATTGATAGTTTAGTAAATACAGTCAGAATATTCTCAGAAGATATCAAGATGGAGTCTGGATTATCTAAATGTGGAGTGCTAATCATAAAAAGAGGATAAGTAGTTGAAAGCGATGGCCTCTGCATGGCAGATGGTGCAGTGATGAGAAATATTGAGGAAAGTGGATACAAGTATCTTGGTGGCTTGGAAGTGGATGGAATAAAGCATGATCAAATGAAAGATCAAGTAAAGAAAGAGTATACCAGAAGGGTCAGAAACATATTGAAATCAAAGTTAAACGGAGGAAATATAATCTCAGCCATTAATTCCAGAGCGGTATCAGTTGTCAGATACGGAGCAGGAATCATAAAGTGGACAAAGAATGAATTGGAGGAAATGGACAGGAAAACAAGAAAGCTGATGACAATGTATGGGGCGCAACAACCAAAAGCAGATGTTGATAGGTTGTACTTGAAAAAAATATGATGGTGGAAGAGGCTTGCTTGGCGTTGAAGATTGTGTGCAGGCAGAAGTCAACAGTCTTGATAAGTACTTACGCGCGTCAGAAGAAAACATGTTGAAGGAAGTAAACATCAGTAGTATTCTTGAGAACAAGAAGCATGGGCAGAGCAGAGAGGATATACAGAAAAGTCAGTAAGAGAGATACGAGAATAAAGGATTGCATGGACAGTTCCACAAAGCTACGGTGAAAGTAAAGAGCAATAAATCATGGGATTGGCTAAGAAAAGGATATTTGAAAAAAGAAACAGAAAGTACAATCATAGCAGCACAAGATCAAGCCCTTTGCACACGGAATTTAAGGAAAAGAGTCTATGGAGAGGATATGGATTCAAGTTGTAGAGTGTGTGGTGCTGCAGAAGAAACAGTGGCACATATTGTGTCAGAATGCCAGAAACTAGCACAGAAGGAATACAAAGAAGGTAGACATGACAATGTTGCAAAACTGATCCACTGGAAATTATGTGAAAAAATGGGGATTTGAGAAATCTGATAAGTGGTCCACACACAAGCCTGAAAAAGTATTGGAATCCGAAGAGTGCAAGATTTTATGGGATTTCCCCATACAAACAGACAAGACACTGGAACACAATAGACCGGATATCACTGTAATTGAGAAAAATAGCAAAAAATGCCTTCTTACTGACCCAGCATGCCCATTTGACACTCGCATTGAAAAGAAAGAAGAAAAGTGCAACAATTACTGCGACTTGAAATATGAGATTGCAAGAATGTGGAGAATGAAAGAAGTTGAAGGAATCCCTGTAGTTGTAGGGGCATTAGGATCTGTGACGAAAGACTTTGAAAAATGGATTCAAAAGCTAGATTTGGGAATAACAGCAGAAATGTTACAAAAACCTTATTTACTTGGAACAGCCAGAATCATTCAGAAAGTCTTGGACATGAAATGAAGAAATTAGGGATGCTGCAATATCTAAGACCTCTGGCTGTGGTCCGCTATTGCAGCTCGTTAACCAAGATATAACATTAATCTTGTGAATAGAAGAAATAATAATAATATCAATAGTAGTAACAGTCGTAGTAGCAATAATGATAATGAGGATAATGATAATACAACTAATAATGATGATGATAATAGTAATGAGCATAATAATAAAAAAATAATAAAGAAAATGACAACGATAATGATAATGATAAAACTGATGATAATGATAATGATGACAACAATGATGATAATGATAATAATAATGATAAGATGATATCAATAGTAATAACAGTGATAATAATGATAATAGCAATAATAATAGTAATGATAATGATGATAATGTTGGCAATAATGATTAATATCATTATGGTAATGATAATAATGATAATGATAATAATAATGATAGTAATAATAATAACAATAATAATAATAATGATGATAGTAATAATAATGATATTAATAATAATGATAATGATAATAATAATAATGATAATGATAATATAATAATGATAATAATAACAATAATAACAAAAATAATGATAATGAGAATAATAATGATAATAATAATAATAATGATCATTACAATGATAATGATAACAATGATAATGATAATGATATTCATGAAAAAACTAAAGAATAATATTAATGATAATAACAATGATAATAATAATGATAACAATAATAACAACAATAATAATAATTGCAGCAGTGATAATAGTGATAATGGTTATGATTTTGATGATATCAATAATGATAATGATACAACGATTATGATGATAATAATGATAATAATAATAATGATAATAATAATAGTAATAATAATAATGATAATAATAATAATAATAATAATAATAATAATAATAATAATAATAATGATAATAATAGTAATAATAATGTTAATAAAAATAATAATGATAATGATGATGATAATAATAATAATAATAATATTTATAATAATAACAAGGATAATAAAAATGATAATAGTAATAACAGTAATGATAATAATAATAATAAATAATAATAATAATAATAATAATATAATAATAATAATAATAATGATAATAATGATAATAATAATAATAATAATAATAATAATAATAATAATAATAATAATAATAATAACAATAATAATAATGATTATAATGATGATTATAATAACTATGATGATAATAATGATGATAATGATAATAACAATGAGAATAAGAATGATGAGAATGAAGGAGAGAAGAAGAAGAAGAGGAAGAGGAAGAAACATGATAATAATGATGTTAATAATATTGATAATAATAATAATAATAATAATAATAATAATGATAAAAATGATAATGAGGATGATGATGATAGCAATAATGATCATAATAATGAAAATAATAATAATAATAATAATCATCATGATAATATAATAATAATAAATAATAATAATAATAATAATAATAATAATAATAATAATAATAATAATATAATATATAATAATAATAATAATAATAATAATAATAATAATAACAATAATAATAATGATAATAATAATAATAATGATAATGATGATGATGATGATGATGATGATAATAATAATAATAATAATAATAATAATAATAATAATAATAATAATAATAATAATAATAATAATAATTTATAATGATAATGATAATAGTAATGATAACAGTAATAATGATACTAACAATAATAATAATAAGAAGAAGAAAAGGAAGAAGAAAAAGAAGAATGAAATGGATGAATAAAGGAAATAAAGGTGAAGAAAGAAAAGAAGAAAAGGAAGAAGACAAATATGTAGTAGTAGTAGTAGTAGTAGTAGTAGTAGTAGTAGCAGAAGAAGAAGAAGAAGAAGAAGAAGAAGAAACAGAAGAAGAAGAAGAAAAAGAAATGAAAGATGAATATTGGGTAAAAAAATGAAGACAGTAGAACAACAAAAAAGTAAAACCAAAGGAAAAAATGTATACATATACATATAACAATAGCGTTGTATAGACTTCATTGTGAAGCAACTAGTCTATTGGATAACGTCAATTATTTGCTGGGCTAATAATGATAAATTGATAAATACAAAAGTTACCCATCAAATCTAATAAAACCAAACGTTTTCTATGAAAGTTGTTTATCATTTTGATAATTTATCAATAAGAGAAAGCTAAATCATTTATTGGGAACATTACAGATAAAGGAAATTATTTTTGATGTAATTATTTTTGTAATTCATGCTATAAATTATTTTGAACTTGCACCGATAATTCAGGATTGAAACCTACCAATCTCCAAAATGATGTAGGCCATACAGAAGTAAATGAAAACTTTAAAGAGAATACGTTTGGAATGAATCACGAAATATTCACATAAAATAAACTACAAGCAATCCTAAAATTCTCAAAGTCAACAATACCAACCCAAACACAACCCATTAAAAATCACAAACACCTTCTAAAACACACCGCAAAACCTCTAGAATCCCTCTATAATTCTAAAAACTAATACAGATCCTAAAATAAAAATCCAAAATGAAATGATAACTCAAAATAAAACAACCCCTTAAAATTCCTGAAAAACGACAATGACGTCACGGCCGAGGGAGACGTGTCAATCGGACTTTCACAACAACATGACAACGATGCGGAATCTTTTGGCGTTTTTGGCCATTTCCTCCGTCTTTATGGCCACGGAGGGGTATTTCATCACCATAGACGCACACGCAGAGGAATGCTTCTTCGAGAAAGTCACGACGGGCACGAAATTAGGTAAGAAAGGGGAGAAAAGCGAGGCATGAATACCGTCTCGTTGAGTTTCGGCTTGTGGTTCAGGGTGACAGATGTCGGCCTTTCCCCCCCTTTTGTTTTGGTGTAAGTTGTGGTTGTGTAGGTGTAATCTGAAATTAATGAGGAAAACGAACGATTGAGGGACGTAGCCACTGTTGTTGACCCTGTTATCTGGTTGATTTTAAGTCATGGTAGATGGTAGTTGAATCATCGAGTATTTTGCTAGAGTATTTTGCTAGCTAGTATATAGCTAGCTATGGCAATGTTGTGTTTGGAATTGCATCTCCACTTCGGATGGACCACTTGTTAACTCGGATAGGTAAGTAGTTTGTGTTCGAACCCCTCAGCTCCTGCAGTGCTCAGATATTTAGGGAATGTATTGAATGCCTCAGTCAGTTTTCTTATTTTCAAGTTGGTATTTGTTAGCAAGATACAGAGTGATGTACTTAGAGATAAAGTCCCAAAACTAGAGTTTGTAATTGGTACCAAGAGTGACGCACCCTCCTAGAGACGGTAAAAAAAAAAAAAGGTAGAATTCCAGTTTCTTCCAGCCTCTGATTTTCAAAACAATTCTTTTTTGGAATATATTATTTCTTTTTCTGTTTTACGCTGTAATTCTTTTGTTCTCTGACGCATCTGACTGTTTGACCAGTGACATAACTTGTACTTCCCGATGTCAAAGTTTATTAAGCGTGTAAGCCTCGGTTTTATACTTTATATCTGAGAAAAATATGCATGATTTATACAGCAAAACATATCAAAACAACTAAAAAAGCTAAAAATCGTGTTTGTTGAAACTATACAGAAAGGGAGGCATGTTTCACTAATACAAGTAAGATCTGCAATTATGCTGTTAAATCTGGGTTTACTTTTAGCCTGATTGCTGCACAATACAAATGCATTAAATCATTAAACAAAAGGGACATTTAATTATGAAAATGCGATTCCCAAGTTTCCTGAAGATCCCATTAATATCAATAAAATGAAGTTAATTGTTGCTCAAACAATAACGGGATTTGGTAATTCTTTACGGTGCAGACGCACCCACCAGAGACATAAGTCCCAACTCCACCCAACAATCTTGGGGGACACGTGGGGAAGCGGAGGTTTGGGAGGGGGGTTAAAGAGTGGGCCCAGCTTGATTTTAGTGTCAGTAAATGACTAAAGTTATGAATACAAAAGCACAAGTGCACACGGTAACCAACACAAAATTTACTGAACTGTCCAAGTTAAGGTGACTGGGCTTGCCCTTCGGGTACTGCCTGAGGGGAGGGTTGATGTGGGGCTCAGCCCCAACACCCCCCGGGAAACATTCTCTTCACCTCGGTATGCACGGCAAGATAGAGCTGAAACAGTTCAGAAAATTGCACTGCACTTTTCACACTTTCTTTCATTTAGGATGATTCCATGAATTTGTAAAACCTTCATGATCTCTTCAGTTTTTCCATTAAATTTCTAAAGAAAAGTCAAGCACACCACCGTAACACAAATAACACACATCGGTCATTGTCACTGAGAAGAATGAGGCAGGCCACCGGTGTAGCCAGAAATGTGCGTGTGTAAACCCATTCGTCCCGGGTGTCACATATATGGGACACAGGGAAAAAATAAACAGTGTCGGGCTGCCCGCCAGTGCGATGCTGTCTCGGAGCCGTGCTCCGCGGCAGAAGCGGCGGGGCGGGCCGGGCGGGCGGACAGACTCCGGGGAAGCTCCGCCCGCCGATTTTGTAGCTGCCCGGATTTTTTTAATTTTGGCTACAAAATGTACCCCGGCGCGGGTGGGTTAAATTAGATAATCCCACGTGACTATGGATAGTTTTAGTCCAATTCTTGTATTATTAGTCTTAAAGACTTATTGTTACATGCATTTTTAATATTTGATATGAGCAATAGTAATTAAGGCAGCTGCACTACATATACCAAGGAAAGTATAATAGAATTATTGAGTAGTCTTCATACATGTTGGGGAAGTTATTAGAATTGTGGGGACCTCACTGGTTGTGCTTTAATTCAAATTAAAATGTTGCCTTTCTTAGAGTTCACAAACCTTGATGTCTCGATCTTTCTTGAAGTACTGTAAGCTTTCTGAAAAGTATGGCGAAATACCCCCAAGGAAAGGGGGTCCGGGGGCATGCCCTTGGTAGGGAAATACTCCCAGGGAAGGGGGTCCAGGCCAAAGATTTCTGAAAAATGAGTTTTGATTGGTCAGAACAAAATTAATTTGTCAAGGTTTGGCATGGGTATAGTCGTGTACTTTGTAGATAAATGCTAGTTATACATGCTGCCCATTTCTTAATAATTTAAGGGGAAGAGTCGTCGGTACGATCACGAAATTCGTTATTCGATCCTGCTTACTTTAGTTTTTTAGCTAGATCAATAATTTTTTTTACACAAAGTGCATTGGTATGTGATACTTGTATACCAGAAATTTGATTAAAAAAGCTGCGTAAATTTTTGCGCAAAAAAACAAAAATGAGCGAGATGATAGAATTCAAAAATTACGTGATGGTTTCCTTATAGTGAATAGTACTACAGTTTCCTTCTGACCAGAGTTAGTCAACAAATAGGAGTACAAAATGTAGCATTTATGTAAATCTATCTGAAACGACAATGTTTCAGTTACCTTGCAAAAAAGCGCATTTTTTTTCGTCCGAAAATCGCCATTACATTTTTCAGTATAAAATTTATTTGGTGGAAATAATGCATGACTTTGCTACAGCTAGTAGATACGAACTGGACAAGTATTTTGCAACAAGAATTATTAAAATCGCGTAATTACATACAAAGCTAACCTTACTATCATGCGTGAAAATATGATTTTGAGAAAATGGCAGTTTTTGTCATTCATCGTCATTTCATCATAAAGGTCATACCAATGATTACCAAATGTGAATATCTACTTAGACAATACCTTGGCCTTTAATATGAGTCCTGTGGTAGAGGGTCAGTCCTTGTTCAGGTAATTTTAGGTCATCTTTATGTCAAGGTTAGGTTAGGTTAGGTGGGAGTGTTCTCTGAAAAGTATACTTTCAGATGTCAAGGCTCCTGGTTCCTCTGTCATTTACATATCATAGTACACAATAAATCGTATATTATGCATTTCTGATATGTAAATGACATATTGTTAGGTTTTCAACAGGTTGAAAACAAAACATGTACTCCCGAAAACTTTATCAATCGCACTGTTTTCCTGTCCTTGCTGCTGCTGCCTGTCTGCTGAACGCAGCCTAAACTATCGTACAGCAGTATCATACCAAAGAAATTCGCAAAAACAGCCGAAAAAACGCTGAAAATACAAGAAAAACAAAGCATGAAGCAAAAAGGGGTGTGGCAGCACAAGGGCATTTGAATACCCCAGACCTTTAAACCGCGGAAAGGAGCGTGTTACACATCTGGCAACCGGCGCACTGGGTGCGTCACATGGTCATTTATCCACATACAAAGTTTGAAAAAATCGTAATTTGTGAAACGTACTGACGACTCTTCCCCTTAAACATAAGGCATTTATTATCGTTATTTCAGGTGCTACTTGTTGTACCTTATGACAAATATTTCAAAAATATAAGATATCAATCTTATTTTCTGTGATTTCATGAGTCTTTATGATAATGATTTAATTCATATGATTTTATTAAAACACCCTTTGAACATAAATGTGTGGCCGCAAACTATTTTACCCTGGCCATTGTTCAGTTGGTCGGTAGAAATATTTAATCAAAAGGGGTAGGTAAAGGTAGTCATTATCCTTCTCATCTGAAGGAGGTTATGTGTGAGACATTAACAATAAGATATTGGCTGAGGAGCAATGGATAATTTTGCTAGATACACAAACAGTGACCGAAATCATATACAAAGAAACTTACGTATATCAACTGCTACTCTCTCCTCCTGGTAAAACCATTGGCTTTCAGTATTACAAGTTTATCATATGGTATACATACCCTTGATCCTTTACTGAACGGTTTACATATCATTTTAATTTATTGGGTGATGCGCGTGTCTGTCATGCATTGTTCCGTGCACTGCGAACTGTGCTGCCATCAATCAGACCTGCCTGAGCTTTCTGCCGTTGTATTATTGGTTGTGTATGTAATTAATTTGGATTTTTTAATTTGAAATAATAAATGCTTTAGTGTGCACTTATAGTTATTGATAAACATTAAAAGTTAATATATTTATAATAATTCCATAAAATAAAATTATTAATGCATTATATGATTTGAAAAGGTGCAAACTAATCCCAGGAATGTGATGTTTTTCTTGCGAGTTGAACAAACAGAACTGCCTCCGCTTTCGACTATTTCGTAACAATCGACGATATTTGTAGTGCTCTGGTTTTCGTAGAACAGTGTGATGTAAAGATGTATATGTATATAGATATAAATATATGTGTATATATGTATATATATGTGTATCTATGTATATATGTGTATATGTATATATGTGTATATATATGTTATATATATATATGTATATATGTATATATTGTATATATGTGTATATATGTATATATTGTATATATGTATATACATGTATATATATATATATATTATATATATTATTATATATATATATATATATATATGTATATATGTATGTATGTATATGTTATGTTATATATATTTATATATATGAATGTTATATATGTATATATGATATATATATGAATGTATATATGTTATATGTATATGTATATATATATGAATGTATATGTATATGTATATATGATATTGTATATGTATATGTATGTATTATGTATATGTATATATATGTTATGTATATATTATATGTATATGTATATATATATGTATATGTATATATATTATATATATGATATGTATATGTATAAGTATATTATGTATATATATGTATATGTATATGTATATATATATGTATTATGTATATGTATATGTATATATATGTATATATATTGTATACATGTATATATATATGTATATATATATGTATATGTATATATATAT